AAATATATATGTGAGTGTGTCATTGTTGTAATTAGTGGAAGGTTAATGAAAATGCATTATTTTTGTCATCACAAGATAATTAATTGAAATTATTATTTTATACTAAAATATAATTTTTTCAACAAACCCACGAATCATACTGATCTTGAATCTTATACTCAAGCCCGTAGTCAGCATTTTTTCTGGGAGGAGTAGGGGGAATGGTTTGAATTTGATTTTTTTTTTAAGTTTGTTCATTTAACGTAATAATACGAAACAAAATTAAATATTTCCGTTAGTAAACTAAATTCAGTTTTCAGTCCTCATTGACTGTAATTTTTATTGGCTGCGCAAATTTTTCATAATTTAATTAATTCGGGAAATATTTAAAGAAATTCGTACTATAGTTCAGGCTTCAAGAAATTGAAGACCTCTTTTACGGAATTTCCATCTGCGAATCGCTGCCGAATCATGAACATTTCTCAAGTGGATGGTGGCTGGTGTTGGAAAGTGTATCACTTACAGCAAAGTCAGCCGATAACAGTCGTGAGCGAAGGGCAGTGAATGTGCCGGCACAAAAGATGTTTTGTGGGATTGGCACAGGAAACATGAGCTACTCCACTACAGCCACACTCCTAATTCGGACATTTACTGTAGGCAATTGGATCGTCTTAAGGAAGTGAACGCCCAGAAGCGCCCAACTTCATAAACAAAAATTCGAGTATAAGATCTTTGAAACACTATTACCTGCCTTCCATAAGCCAACACCGGGAAAGTTACGAAACAAATAAACAAATGGTAAAAATTAAAAAAAAAAACAGTTCTTAAAAATGACATTTGCTTGCAGCCTTTGATTTCAAATATATTTGACACCTCAGCAAATAAATTAGATGAGTTCTAAAATTGCTAAAAATAATTAAATTAAAAAAAACTGGCCAACAGAATTGAAACTCCTTCTGTCACATGAAAACTTGTGTCAAATTTTCAAATGTTTTAAGATCACTAAACAATAATTTATTGAGGGAATATTATGTACACATAAGGTTTTGTTGTAATATCACACCATCTATTTTCATAAAATAATACAAAAAAAAAAAAACTAAACTCAGAAGAAATTTTATTGCTTAAACTCTGGGGATTTTCATGAATATTTAGCTTTCATTGGATCCTTTTGAAGACCCTCTAAGATCCCTCCCATCTTGTTCGTCACACACAGCACCAAATTTGCCGGAAGGAAATCCAAATGGGAGTCAGGCATATATAATAATAATAACGACATGCACAGTGTGTCCAAAAATAACCGAACTTTGTATTTAAATCATACAACATACAGCGCCATCTATTGAAAATTAAATGAAAATTAATGAAAAAAGGGATTTCTCTCATCGACCATCCTCCGTATTCGCCTGATCTATCACCATGTGACTATTTTTTTTATTTCCCAAACTGAAAACCAAGATAAAGGGAGCATTTGATGATGATATCCCAGCCATTCAAGCAGCCGTAAGCGAGGTACTGGAGAACATTTCTCTGAATGACATAAAAAATTCTACGCATGCACTGGTTGATGGTTCCAAACGTTGTGTTGAGTCAAATGGAACCTATTTTGAATAAATAATAACTTTCAAAGATAATATAATATAATGTGTATTTTATTTTATATCCAAAAAGTTCGGTTATTTATGGGTCACACCGTGTATTACATGCCAGAGCTCTACATTACACTTTAAGCATTTATTTATTATTTCTTTGTAATTTTATGATTTATAATTTTAAAGTAAGTTCTTGTCAGGCAAGTTCTTCCTGGGCATTCAGTTTTTATTTAAAGGTTTTTTCCCTTATAATAGACTATAATAAAATATAAAATGTTTCATATATAATATGTGTACGAGGGGATTGACAAAAGTTCGGTAAGTTGACCAGAAAAGAAATAATAAAGAAATTCTCTGTTTTTATTCGTAATCTTTGACATTTTTATCTTCTCTACACAATCGCCCTTGATTTCTATACATTTCTTAAGCTTATAGATCCACTCTCTTCGAAGAGACTTATGGTATATATTATATATTGAGCACTCCAGCCGTTTTTTTGGGCCTCACTTAAAACTCAGTTTTCTTCGTGTATCCGAAATTAGTTAATATTCACAATACAGACTTGGCATTCGTCAATTTTGGACTTCACCAGATCTACAGTGACGTCTTCAGTGGAAGATTTTGGTCGACCTTCTCGTGGCTCGCTCTGTGAAAAAAAGTCCGTTCTGGAATCTTCGGAACCACTTGGAAATAGTCTTTAAAGACGTTGCAATCGTTTCATATGCAATGAGGCATTCACTGAATATTTTTGATGGCTGCAAATTACGCCGATATCCGAAGAGATCACATGACGAAATTCTGTTTGCGTTGGTGATCTGTGTTTGATCGTCTCGCATTTTAGCCGCTCATTCGAAAATTTGAAAGGAAGACTGATAATGATAAGGTAATTGTAAAGAATTTGGCGCAACAAATTGAAAGTCAGCAACCGATTGAACTTTTGTTAATCCCCTTCTATCTTCATATGTATATACCCGACAAAAAAATTGTCTGCTGGGTATTTATAAGAACGTAAAATATATATTATGTTTTTTATTTAAATCTTTTTTCTATGTGAACGTTTAAAACTGAAAATTATTACAATATAGAAAATGAAAATATTTAAAGTATAAAATGAAACAATTTAAAGTGAAGTCAAAGTCTAAAGCTAGATTCCTACACCCTTTATAAGAACGTCATATTTGACTTATAAATATTTCCTCTTTAATTTTTAACTTGCGAGATTTCGGATCACAAAGCTTGAGATATTATATCGTACTGGCTGAGGACAAATTCCTCACTAGCATTCGAATGTCTTTAGAACCGAAACAAATTTGGATAGTGGATAATGTGTGTGTGGACTTGGTTGTAACGTTCTTTGTTTGAGTCAAACAAAATTAAAAATGATTTACGTGATCAATTGGTTTTCCGTCCAAATCACTGGTATGACAAATGGTTAGGTTGTTCTGTGGCTCAATTTCAGAGAAGTCTCACACAGGTTGCACAGCATTTATGAGAATCTCAAGATTTATCTGGATTCTTCACTAGAAACCACCTAAAATAAAATAAACCTAAAATAAAATAAAAAATCATCAAAATATTCGTGTGACAAATACAGTGTTTACCAGTGTAATCACATAGCTGTAATTTATATTTGTCTAATTTTTGAGTTATAAACAAGACACCTGTGTGCCCTTCACCATAATACACCTGGTCCAAAATCTGCAAAAGTCAAGTTGCCAACATTTCGCTAAGTGGCTATACCGGATTGAATCGAACTAGATGGCTTTCCTTTATGAGTTAAGGCTACTTATTTTTCTCATTATTTTTTTATTTATTTTTATTTATAAAAGTCATTTTCTGTTTAAAAATAATAATGTAGGGAAAATTTTACTTCGAACGCTTTTTCTTTTTGCTTTTCTTCGAAATATTTTAGACATTTGTTCATATCATTGACATATCGAACGTATCATCTTCTTCAAGAACGACTTGATAATGGGAGAATATGAAGTCATATCAAACACAGAACATTAAACCCGGGTCTGTGAGCAGTGGAATATTAACTTTGTTAACCTACGGGTTGGTCATGTCAGCAGAAAATATTGCAGCCAAACGATGTTACAGATATATGTATGTAGATGAGTCCTTATTATTGGCGCTTTGTAGGCGCGATTTTCGGCCGAGTTCCTTCCCTAAATTGTGGTCTTGATATTTTTATAAAAAGTGTATGCTAACAGTTTATACCAAACCGCCTGCGAAGGGCCGAATAAGAAGATTCATGAGGAGTATTTATTTCTGGCGGCCGCGTTAGCCGAGCGGTTAGCATTCCGTAGTGACATTCGGAAGGATCGAGTACATATCCAGTTGCCACCACCATCCAAAAGTTATGGAAAATTAATTTAAATAAAAAATTAAGTTCAATTTTCTAAGTGCGGTCGCAGCTCTGTAGGGAATGTCCACCCCTCCGACGAGTGTATTTCGGACATGAAATACAGGCTCCTCGCAAAAAAAAAACCATCAGTTGTTCGGAGGCGGCTTTGTATAGACTGTATGTCGTTACATTTGTTGGAAAAACATCGAGACGCCAACCTACAAATTGGAGAAAGAGCTCGGCTCGGACAAAGGTTACCATGGTGTCAACAACCGCGATCTGAGTTCTACCTTTTCTAGACTGAATAGGGAAACGAGGTAATTGTATCTCTTGAGTCGTAGATAATTTCGTCTATCTAGGAACCAGGATAACACCAATCACAATTTCAGCCTGGAAATCCAACGCGGAATCGCTCTTGTTAACCTGTGTTAATTCAGATTGAGTAGGCAATTGAAAAAGAAAGCTCATCTCTCGACAACACAAAGACCAAACCGTGTAGTTAACTCATCGTTCTCGTTCTGCCATGTATGTGGTGCGGAGTCAAGGACAATGACAACAACTGATGAGTCGGCGTTAGATGTTTTGTTAAGCGAATTAACTTCACTTGGTATTTCCAATCGGGGTCCAACAGCGAAAGTAAGAAACGTTTGGAGCACTTTCGCTAACACGGCTGCAGAAGAAGAAGAAGAATGGTTTAAAGCCTTCGGTCGATGACAACATTTTTTATACTTCGTATTTATCTTCATCTTCCTTTTCGTTACAAGTTTATGTTTGATACCACCCGAATTCAGCTCGTTCTCATTTGTTATTGATTTTGTTTGTTTACGTTTACGTTAATTTTATTTGTTCTTATTTTGACACGTGCGTGTGAAATGAAACCGAACGGAACATTCCCCCGTTTGAAGTGTACGTATGTATGTCGCTATGCTCGCGCCGAAAAACATATATATATATATATACATACATACAAAACTCACATCGAAATCTATTAAATGACTAGCCAAACATCTAAAGATCACCGAAGTTGGGAAAAAATACCCATCGTTAATTCCATAACTTTTGCTATAAAAAAGCTGGCATTGCCCAAAATTGACTTAGTTTCGATTTGTTAACGACATCTGATAGTTGTTCAATCACATACCGGCATCGCGATGAAATTGTTTGTTGTACTCTCCGCCATTGTTGTGGTTGGCTCAGCGCTGCCACAATTCGGTGGCTCGAATGCCAACGCCAATGCTGCCGCTAACGCAGCTTCTGAAGGAGGTTTCGGTGGCGGATTTGGTGGTAATCCAGGATTCGGTGGCAATCCAGGATTCGGTGGAAATCCAGGATTCGGTGGTGGTTTTGGCCGCCCAGGATTTGGCGGCTCTCGCGGTGGTTATGGCGGCGGTTTTGGCGGAAATCCTGCATTCGGTGGTGGTTTTGGCCGCCCAGGATTCGGTGGCAATCAAGGCTTCGACGGCGGTTATGGTGGAAATCCTGGATTCGGTGGTTTTGGCGGTGGTTCCAGCAGTGCCAAGGCTGATGCTAACGCTAACGCTAATTCCAATGGTGGTGGTTTTGGTGGCAGCTCGGCTAATGCAAATGCCGATGCATCTGCTATCTCGAATGGTTTCGGTGATGCGAGTGCCAATGCCAACGCGAATGCTAATGCTGGCTCCAATGGATTTGGATTTGGAAAATAAGCGCACACACACACACACACCAACACACAAGAGATTTCGAACATTGATATTTTCATGACTTATTGGAATGTGCATTTGTATGGATGCCGCTCACACCTCAGACTGCCCAAAAACGCTACACTAGGATAAACGTTATTTTAAATTTGTATCTATGTTTGTATGTAGTATATAAGATAATTTCGTACAGAGAAATGAAAAAAAATTTAATAAAATTATAATATTTATAAAAAATAATATGTTTGTATGTATGTATGTGTATTTATTTAATTTATGTAAACCGGTTATATTACGTCGGCTTACCTAATGATATAGACAAACCGGCACAAATGAATCGAGATATATGTATATGTAAAATGTAGAAGGAAAATTGAGCCAAATTTATGCTGGTGACGTGCATATTAGCAGATAAGATATGATTAGTAAAATAAAAGAACGTTTGAAAGAGCGTTACACGGCATTTACGCGCCCAAGATCTTGTCCCACTGCCGCGCAAGCAAAGTCTGAAGTTCTGAAGATGCTGATTTGTATGGAATATACGACGACATTGACTCAGTACAGCTTAGTAAGAGATGGTGGCAACGCTCACTAGAGGATATCGTACCTTTGACTGAAATTCTACAGCTCATAACGCTCATAACGTAGGCGGTGAAATCAGTGGAAGGGGAATACGTGCGCTGGAAAGATCGGGTAGATAAAAGCCCGGTTTCACTTAAAATTTAGCTTAAAAATCTAACGGTATTTTTTATCCATATCTACGATTTTAATCGAAACGAAATACGATAAAATGGTCCTAGTCAATAAGCCAAATAGTTTTTGGGTTATATTGACAACAAATTTCGACAACAGCGAGGAAATGTAGACTAGTCTGCAAAAATTCTAGTCAAATACTAGTATTTTAAAGACGAATTCGTACTAGTTAGTTGTGTACTAGAAATATACTAGTTAAGGGTGATTTTTTAGCTATTATCTTTTTGGCTAGACTGGTTTAAACAGCTGACGCACGTTTTGTGTTTTGTATCACCGACAAACATCTTCAGTTTGGTCTATAATTCGACCATGAATCGTCTTACAAACGAACAACGCTTGCAAGGTATTGAATTTTATTATCAAAATACTCTCTCTAAAAGAGAGTTCAAAAAAAAAAAAAAAAACAGAATTGGGTCCAGCGACGAAGCTCATTCTTGGCTTAATGGATGCATAAAGTAACAGAATTGTCGATTTTGGAGTGAAGATCAGCTAAAAGCATTGTAGGAGCTACCAATCCAGAAAAAGTCACAGTTTTGTGCGGTTTTTGGGCTGGGGACATCATTGGACCTGTTCTGTGAATTTTGCCCAAAACGCAAGAGCTTGACTTGAATGACATGTGATTTCGACAAGACGGTGCCACATACCACACAGCACGCGTAACAATGGATTTATTGAGACGCGAGCTCGGTGAACATTTTAATTCACGTTCGGGATCGGTCAATTGGCCGCCTAGATCGTGCGATTTAACGCATTTAGCCTATTTTATGTGGGGCTTTGTTAAATCGATACAGACAAACCCGGTCCAATTGACGCATTGGAGGGTAACATTGAAGCATTTATTCGTGAGATACCGTCCGAAATGTTGGAAAGCGTTAGCCAAAATTGGACTAAGCCGATGGACCATTTGAGGCGCAATCACGGTCAACATTTGCATGAAATAAACTTCAAATATTAAACTATATGGACCGAGCTATCGATTCAAATAAAGATTTCGTGCTATTTTCTGAATTTCATGTGTTTTTTTAAACTTTCCTATAACTCTTAAAAATTACCCTTTATTTATTGAACAAAAAAATTTACTAGTGTGTCAGAGACTAGAATTATACTATTTAGAATTGTACGGCAAAATCTGGACAAGTTTGCCAAAATTCTAGTATATGAACTTGGATTTTGCGGAGAAATTCTTAACAGTTTGTCGTTTTGCAAAAAAAGCAAAAAAAAATTATATTTTGTTCATTTGAACTAATAGTGAACAATCCTAATTAAGCTTAAAATACATATATTCTTTTTATTTTTACTGGTACGATGCAGACTGATCTGAGGCGAACTAGTGAACTAATGTTATGAACTAACTGGTTTTTAACTGGTATATATGAACTGGTATTTGAGTAGTATAAATCTCATGCAGATGCTGACAATTGACAGTTCGTGGGAGATCGTTGTTTACATAGAAAATTGATGGAAGTTGAACTAGTTGGAGTAAAAATGTAAACTAGTCTGATACTAATTAACAACCAGTATTTTTCCTAGTAGGGTAATCTCATGCATTTTATGATTACGCCGAAACTATTCCAGTAACGCATCTGGGGTTGAAATAAGTATTTCACGAAGTTATAAGCAATCGGTGAATTTCAAAGAAAAAAATCGATTTTATGAAGGTGTCACACTGGATAATCATAATTTTTATAGATAATCATAATTTTTCAAGATATCGTGTTTTTGAAAATTTCAATATCTTAAAAATATTTTCTGAAAAGTTTAGGTGTATTTCAAAAATATATTTCAGTTATTCGACAGTTAATGAAGTGCGCTCGGCTTGTCCAAAACAATCATGCAGAACTTTGAGTATGATTACTCAAAACTATGATTTTTGAACTGTAACTCGAATATGACTTAATAAATTTCAACAAATTTTATGCAGCTCTAAGACACGGAGATTCTGCCAATCAAAAAGGCTATCGCATCTTACAATATCTCCCCTTAATGTAAATAGGCAACGCTTTCTAATTTTTTACAATTTCAGTTCGTCCATAATTTATCACCCAGCTCTGAGTTGAGGTGATAACAGTTCATTGATTATGCATATTAATATAAAACATAACCACAGCAAAGCAAACAAAGCAACAAAAACGTTCAGCATAAATTCACAAAAAAATAAATAAAAAATAATAATAATAATAATAAGGCTTGCCAAATCTTTGTTATTTTTCCAGTTGTTGCCAGTAAAAAACCAGTAAAAAATAAAAAGAAAGCTGAGAAAGAGCTAAGTAGATAAGGGCGCTTTGTAGCGGCTGACAGGATTTTCACTCAGAAAACCCGTTGTGTTACCACTGTGGAGTATTTCTCACCTTTTCAGATGCACGAACCATTTCTCGTGCCTTATACAACTTGCGATACTGCCTATACTAGCCATTGCTACGTCAGTCAGGCAGTCAAAGAATTGATGTCGTAGGTACTTATGTCGTGTAGTGCTCGGCAGACTCTTCCTCTTCTATGTACCTACAGCTACGACAAATATCTTTGGAAACGTGTGCCATTTTTTTATCGTGAAGCCCCATTATTCAGCATCAAGTTAGTATGCCCGTCGAAAATAGCCGAGCTTGTTTGCATCAACAGCTTAGTGTTTGTTTCGCTTCCTGCAAAACCATTTGATTGGTGGGGTACTAAAAACCTACCTGAGATTTTCGTTGCAACGTGACACTGTCTTGAGTGGATTTTCTGCTGGAGGCATAATTAGACCGTATTTTTTTTGAAAATAAGATTGGTTAAACAGTGACTTTTACTGGTGCTGGATAACGCTATCATGTCAGTTCTTTTTGCCAAAATTTTACGATATTGACGTGGCGAATATGTGGTTTCAAGAAGTCGATGCTACATGGCGTACAGCTCGTGAAACGCCTTAATCATTGCTGGAGACATTTCCACGTCGTGTACTCTCTCCTTTTGGTGATCAGAAGTTGCTCAAAGCAATTGTATTTACTTTATTAGTCCACCTTTCAAATTTGAAAACGATCGGCTGAAATGGAGATGAGAAACCCTACGATAGCTGAGGATAGGTCAGACGAAATTCCACCACCAATGCAAAACAGAAATTCGCCATGCGATTCTCTTCGGGGTTCGGCGTAATTTACAGCCAATAAAAAAATTCAGTGAATGCCAAATTACATATGGAACGATTGCACCGTCTTTAAAGAATACTCATAAGTGGTTCCGAAGACAGCAGACGATAAATTTGTGAAATCCAAAATTGACGAAGACCCAGGACTGATACGAGATAGAAATGCTAATGAGTTTGGCCTAAATGGCATGACTGTATCGCGTATATCAAGAAATCATCTCAGATACACGAAGAAATCTGCTCGTTGAGACCCAAAAAGAGACTCAAGTGCGTTTTGCTCCATTTTTCCTAAGCGAATTCGAAATTGCTCAGTCTAGCAACTTAAGTAAAATCGTTACTGGTAACGGTTCTCGGTTCTATAAGTACGTTCCAGAAACCAAACAACAGTCCATGGTATGAAACCCAACAGGGAAAAGCCCGCCCGTAAAATCAAAGCAACAAAGATCAACAGCAAAAGTAATGAGATCAGTTTACATAACCCGAACTAAAATCGTAGATGCCATTCCACCGGAGGAAGGTCATACGGGGAATAATGCTTACCTAAAGTTTTCAAGATTTTGTTGGAAAATAGGAAGAAAGAGGATTTGTGACGCTACTTTTTACATCACGACAACGCGCCATCCCACACTGCTGAAATGACGAGTAATTTTATTGCGATCTCTGGAATCGAAGAAATACGTCCAGCACCATATTCCCCAGTTATAGCTTCTTGTGATTTATGGTTACTAAAAGGAAAGGTCTTTAATAGCAACGAGGAGATAGATAATGTTAACCGATAAGCTTAAAAAGCAAGATTGTAAAGACTGTTTTCAGAAGTAGATCTATAGGCTTAAGGGGCACACCTAAAGTAATGACCTAAAAAAAAGGTGACTATTGGGAATTGTTATTCAAAAAATACTTTATCAATTATCTCAAAATTTCAAAATTTCATGTTTCAAGAATATACAGTGAAATTTTTGAAGAAAAAAATTAAATATTTTTTAAGTTACAGTCGATCTCCAACGGCGCCAAAAAAAGGTCCTTCACTGCTGCAGTGATATCGGCCTTCTTCGTGGATGAAATCTAAAAAAAAAATTCTCGTTAAAGATACACTGACCTTCGATAAAAAAAACCATAAATCAAAAATTGACAATATGACGGCGTTTCAAAAAAAAAATAGTCGATTTTTACCCACAATTTTGGTCGTTTTTGGCCTGCCAAAATTCGATTTTTTGATCAGATCAAAAATCGATAGGTCATTGTACGGTGCTCTATATATATAACATGTAAAAAAAATTCGATAGTGATCGGGTCATTTATTTTTGAGTAACCACTGCAGCAAATTCGGAAAA